CATCCACAAACATCCTGCTTTCGGAAAGATCTCTCTTCTGCAGAAAATGCAATTACTTAATGTATCACTCATGTCATTATTTTGAAGTCTGAGACTTTAAAAACAGGGGAAGGGAAACTGGCCAAGAGAAAGGAAGTTACTCCCTCCAAGTCACGACGTAAGTGGTTCCTAGTCCAGGGACCTGTCACCCACGCTGCTACAGCTCGCAGTGAATGCTTTACGAATACAAATGAAGAGCTCTAGAAAAAGGCAGAATAATTTTCACCACTAGTTCTTTGGGGTATAATGACAGTAAATATTTAACTTACTGCAAAGTTAGTTTCTCCTACCAAGCATTAGAGGAAAAAATATAGTTACTGTTGCTAATAAATTGCACAAAATTGCCAAGCACAATGCAGTACAAGTGCACTGAAAATACAATCTATAGCACTGAGTGTATTAGGTATTCCTAATATACACATTAATGTCAAGATAATTACAGCTATGTTAAGAGAATTACCTTACTGCTAGCGGTTTCTATAAAGCCCTAAGTACTTTTCTTTCCTATTACAATTTAGCCAGCTAAACACAACACATTTAAATATTGTTATGGTAACTACTCATCCAGTCTTCAATAGTAAGCTTATTAATTTATCTAATAAACGTCTACAAATAGTTCAATCTATCCCACCAATGTTAGGTAAAATCAAAATAACATTTCAGAATACTGCTTCCTTTCTTTATTGCACTAATCAAAACTTTGAGCATTGCAAAAAGAGAGAGGAAAAAGTAGGGGAGTGCCTGGTGATGGCTAAGAATTCACAAATTCTAAAAAATGAAGCTAGTTTCAGTAGTGTCTTAACATACTATGACTAGAATATTAGAAAATACAGAATAATTGTAGGTGGACATCCTATTATCTATTTTTAAGCATTAGCTACGTAGCTTTTCAGCAAATCCATAGTTAATTCAGTGAACCTCATGAAAAGCTATTGCTTCCAGGGGGCCTGGGGATCAGGCTACTATCACAGAGCCTCGTTAGCCAAAAGAGATTAAGAAAGTGACGGGGCAGTAATTCACTTCAACTCTTGCTCATTCCAACATGGAAGCTTCTGGCTTTTTCTTTACCAGGAGGAACAGCAGCTTTACAGTGTGCACAGAACTTGAAGACCCCAGTTAGACCTCTACAGAGTCAACAGCTACACAGATACAGCCCAGAAGTCATACTCACTGATTTTCCTCTTCAGGTTTCCAGGTGCAGCAGTAGGGCATTTCCGCTCTCCAGCAGCACTTTTTCCCTTGGAAGCCAGCTGATGAGTGAAAAAAGACAAGCCTTCTGTGTGTTACAGCAGTAATAATAAATGAGCCCCACAGGCAACAGAAAAAAAAGGACAGAAAACTAAAATATGCCAGAAAGTAACCACAAAAAAGCATGCCCAGCAGCAAAACCAGACAACCGTATGAAAGATGCCTGGGAGATCTTGACAGCTGAAAACTGAAAGACACTTGGAACAAATTATATTTTTAAGCACAGTGAAAGCATAACTTACAAAAAATAACTTTTTTACTTTAGAATATTTATCTGTTCCAGCCTGATCCTGTAATTCTTGTGCATATAGGAGGGAAGAAACAGTGCACTGGGCAATTACTGTGAAATAAAAGACAGGTTCTGAAGGAACTGTATGTGACCCCTCTTGTACCTTTTGCAATGCTTTCTTCCATTATTCCTTACCAAGTTTGTACCTGCAGCAGATCCTGGCTGGCTCTATACAGAAACTGCAGGCTATCTATTTCTTTTGTCTTCTCTGTGTTTGATCAGTTCACACAGTTCACCTCATTCTTGCCTCTGCCTGTCCAGATTAGGCTCAACTCTTTGGACACTGCTCAGTCTGGATTCAGTCCCCACTCAAAGTACAAACATTTCCACAAGTCCCCTTCTCCCTCCTCCCACAGAGCTCACTGTCATCCGCTACATGCAAGTCACATCTGTGTAACAAAAAGCCACGAGAAGTTCAAATCAAGTGTGAAACACTTGAGGAGAATTCGGGCTGTGCTTTTTTAAACCAGCTTTCAACCAGTTCCTCAGCTAGGGTAGTTCCAGCATGGTCCATACAACCTTACAAACTCCCATTCTTCAATGCTTTTCTATTGAAGGTATGCAATAATTGTACTTCCTCTCTTCCACTTTAAATACGTAACACAAGTGACATATACAGTATATCTAATATGCAGTCACACATAACAGAATACTATGTGTATATTCAAAATTAATTGAACATTGTTCTAGACATACACATTTTCCAGGGGTGAAAAAAAATTCCTTAAAAAAACTGTAAGAGGTCAGAGGCCAATACAGAATCACAGCAACCTGTCCCTGCAATCGTAGCTACAGTCTGCAATAGCAAAACCCACAGGATACACCGGTATTTCAACCACCAGGCAAATGGTCCATCATAAACAGTGTCTGTTTGAGCAAGGCTGAAATGGAACCAGGTAAAGAAATGGGACTGTTGTTTCTGTTTTGAGGGTTTTTTCAGTTGTTATTTCCCCGACTTTTCAATTTATGTCGGTCTTACCTTAAATAAAATATACAGGATATATAAGAAGATGCCAAATCCATATATAGGGATAATCTGCCCCACAAGACCTCTCCCAGTTCCACCAGTGCTTCCACCACCACCTCCACCTGTCTTGGCTTTGCCAACTGCTTCAGCAAGGTGAGCCCTTGGAAAATGAGGGGCAGATCGGCTGTCAGGAGTGGCCTGGTACTGCATCCTTGGTGGAAAGCGGCCACGCTTCCCTGCAAAAAAAAAACAAAACACACAACAATTATTTTTCTTGTTACTTTTCACTCTGTTACATGCAGCAGGTCTGCCTGACCTTTTTTCTCTAGTTTTAAATGCACCACCACCAATGAAAAAGGTCACTTGTTGAACTGTAAGTATTAAGCCCGTAAACTCAATCCCCAGACATTTACTATATGCAGTGCTAGGAGTTCAGTATGCACAATTACTCCTTTGATTTTAAGAAGGAAAAAAGCTGTTGGGGCAACTAACAAAACATGGAGTTTATCAAGTATATACTCGTCCAAAGACTCCATGAATCAGCATCCCTAACAGGATGAAAACCCGAACTCTTACTTCTGATTCTGTTTTCAGAACAGAACAACAACATATCAGTTTTCTGCTGTTGAGTCTGATCTTTCAGTATTACACAAAGGCACGTTAATGCATAAACCACTACCCAACTAGCATCCTGATACAGTGTTTGCTCAGTACAGATTTTTGGCTATTGACGTAAGAAGTAGTATTTTACCTCATTTCACCAAATAAGTAATGAAAGACACAGAGAAGTGATGGCACCTCAAACCATTCTCCTTAAAAAGGTGTTGGGTAAAGCAGTGTAAGAGAGGAGATTGAATACAGCTTGAAACATACAGGCTTCAGCATTTTAGAGGAGAAATAATGTCGTGAGAGAGGCAGAGATAATTTAAAACAAGAAAGGTGAGTGAGCACAAATAGATGCACGGATGTAAGAGTAAGACTGCAGAGAGCTGAAATGGTGCTGTGGCTGATTCCATTCAACTGAAAGACACTAGAATCTCAATAAATGTAAGCTCATGCATTATTCTATTTTATCGCTGCCATCAATTCAACAGTTTTACCAGGAAACTCACTATTTTACCCCTGTGTGTACTTGATATCCTGCTTTCTGTCTCCATATCCAGCTTGGACTTGCACCTGCGCTCCCTTCCACTGTTTGGGACCGAATTACTCAGCTAGTCTGCCACCAAGCCTGGTGGCAGGAGGTGTTGGATGGAAGCGCCAGAGATGGGGACTGCCAGGCTGGGCTGCATCTTACCCCCTGACACCAGCTGCAAAACTCCCCCTCCCTGGCATACGCAGCAGGAAAACCAGGCAGCCAGGACACTGGTCACTAGTGCTGGGGCAGGCTGCATGCACTTGCATAAAGAAAACAAAAAAAACCCCAGGTTTGAAATAGCACTGAAAATAACTAACTTTGCTTCTGCAAGTACTCAGCTGCAAATATTTTTATGAGAAGACAAGAGAAACGTAGATCAAATTAGCATTTGCTTTTGCTAGGAAACACCATCACAGGCAGCTAAATTCCTGAGCACAGAAAATTACAGGAAATATGTATTAGAGAGTTCACAGAATCCCAGAACGTTAGGGAT